AACAGCTACTAACCTCAAATTATAGGGACCCTCCCCATTGGTATTGAGGTTAGGTGTAACTATGTCATAACGTCTCCCATCGGAACTGCCGGTTGTGCTACCTTGGCTGGATCTTGGATATAAGCAGTTACTTCATCCCTGTTACTGTTACTCAGCTTCCACTCTTGGCTCGCCCCATCGTCCCCACAGCATCTTCAAAAGTACCGTACGCTCACGGCTAGGCAGCCACGTAGAACCTGGTGGCGCGAGCGTCCCGACGGCGCGCACGTTTTATTACTTCACGTGCCTGAATGAGTAGCAGACGTATGGTTGCCTCTATTGCCCGTTATATTACTCCTTTTCATCTGCACCTTTGCAGTACACTATATAATAAACCTTATACAGGAATACGAATAACGAAATCCCGTGGGAAAAAAAAATATATTTTTGAAATAGCAAAAGGGTCATACGAAAAATACGGTTAAATTTTGTAGAAATAAAAATAAAAATGAAAGTGATAACTCGATTAATAAATTTTCAAATTATCAATACGCGTGAAACGGATTTCCAATGTACATTCTAGTAGCGAGTATGTCGAGTTTCTATGGAAATTGATTTTTTATTGAGCGGAGATGGTTGCTAGGAAATTGGGAACATCGTAAGTAATCAGCGGAGTCTGTACGATGAGGGGTATGACAATATTTGCAGAGTGATTATATTTTTAGATGTGTGTATACGAATGACAATCATCTCGATATTGGATAAAATCAAAGAAACGAATTTAGCGTGTTCCGTGTTTTTGTTAATTTTAGATTTTAGATTTCTTTCCGCGAATGCTGTATTCGAAGTAAAGGTATAATTTTGCTTCCTTCAAAGCGAAAGTCTGTAGGTGAAATGTTATTGAGAAAAATATTTTTGAAAAATCTTACAAGTTATTTTATCTAAAAGTAGATTTATCCACGAATGCTGTGATGGGTCTCAGTTACTGATGGATTTGACATCATTCGCAATAATGGTTCACGTTTATAAGTATACCGACGTACGTACATTGACTGATTAAATCGCTTTTGTAGATTGTCAAAATACGATTTACTTGTCACGCGTAACGCGAATCGCATATTTGATTATCAAATTAATGCCTGCAAGCTTCAATGGTAATTGGATATAACGAAACGAATTGCTACGATTATCCCAGCATACTGATAACATAAGGAATTACACAGGTAGAAATGCCCTTATTTATTCCATATCAATTTTGCATCATCAACAAGGATACTAAAGTGAAATCTCAAACTCATTAGTACGTAAAGTACAATTAAATTTTCTAATTACACATAATTAACTAGTAATTCAAGTAATTCCAAACTTACTCCAAACTTTTCATTCATCAAGTTATCAGCCCAACCATCTATCACGCAGGAATAATTAGCACAAGCAATTAAGGTAAATGAAAATAAAACTTATTTGCAGCATCACCTTTCCATATTTCACCCGCAGCAATGACTATAGACCTACGGGCTAATGATCTGTAAGATCGACGTTGGGATAAATCGAGTAAAAAAAAATAAAATTGAATTTAATCAAACTTCTAATTCGATTTTATTACTAAAACCAGACTATATATATATTATCAGTAACAAGCTCGAGTATAGTTAAAAAAATGCTGGCTCCTCGTAAAACAGGCATCTGTTGGCAAAACAAAAATCTCAACTGTTAAATTTCTTCTTCAATCTCTACTTCGTAAGATTTAAACTTTCTCTCCCTCTATGGGAGACTAAGAATTTTCTCTCGTAAATACCGCGAGTCATTCCGTCTGGCAGAGACTCCTTGACGTCAAGGAGGAACCGCTTAATAAATCTTGTCGAGGTTGTAAGACGACAGACTTCTAAGCTAGATTAAATATAGAGGAACGCGTGCGCTTTGGTTGAATCGCTGAGAATAGGTTTCAGGTAGTGGTACGAGTAGTACTGTACTTTACCACTGGATGGCAGTGTAGTATACGTATGGCACATATATTATAGCGTATGAGACTGAACACTGAGATAATATGAGTAAACAGCACGAAAACACGTGACGCATTAAGGAAGATTACTTTCGGAAGAAACGTTTAGGTTTAGGTACGCCCTTAGCTGCTGCTGGCGAGTGGAAGAAAAAGTTTTGAACAAAAAAAACTGGCTACATTTATGCAGAGTCCAAATGCGCGAGAGCATTAGTGTAATCTTGTCTGAGACGTTATATTTAGGTAAACGCGCTTAGATGCTTTTTCAGTGCAGACGATATATACATATATATATATAATATATATGATTTACGATTACAATAATCAAGATCTATTAATTTCTCTATTACCCTGTTTTTCCTTTAATTAAAACTTTTTCAATAACCATTTTATTATATATAATAAATTGACGTTTACAGGAATAAATTTCCAGGCTGCGAATATAAGGGAAATACATTTTTTTATTCTCACTCTGGTAACAACATAGTACCGATACATTCTAAGCGATATACTTGATCGATCATATCTATTGTATTGGGGTAATCAATAATCGCTAATCGGGATTACCATGTCAGACTTATTTGGGCTAAAAGGCCTCGCCTGGACGCGTACACAGAGCAAACGTTTGTCTATTCAGTATGAAATTCGGTGAGAAAAACAAGAAATAAATCTGATCTTATCCCCCTATAAGCCATCAGTGTAACCTCATAAGGTATGGTGCTTTGCTCCCCTATATCGTCTACGGTATCGTTCCGTAATCCGATATAGTCTGATCGATTTAATAATATTTACCTACTTGTCTCCGATCAGCCCTCATTTCGGATCACCCACTGTCATTAGCTTCGCTATTTATCGAATCGGAATTTTGATTTGAAAATATGTCCTTTCTATATTTAAACGTGTATTTATTACATAATGGTATATCTATACACATGTGGATACGAAATCTTTTGTAAACCACAAACACTTGTGGAATCGTGAGGGTGTGTACAGGTACCGTACACACCTGAACACGTTTCATTTTTTTAAAAGGGCTTCCCATGTTGAAATTCCATCGAAGTGTATACGAAGAAAATCGAGACACGTGCGAGATTGTCAGAGCTATATTTGGCGGGTTTTCTTTGGAAGCGGGGCGGGAGGGGAGGGGGGGAGGGTATAACAAGAAAAAGTGTATAGTGCATGATTGACGTTGCGATGGTTTACGATTCTTTTGATGCTTTGTGTCTATCGTCCCCTAGTCTTGGGGCGCCTTTCAGGCACGAATGTCAGATTCGAATACCAAATTACATCATTTCTCGTGCCACGTGTGTGCACACGTGCGATGTCAATTTTCTAAAAATAAAAAATATTTTGTGACGGGAATCGATTTTCGTTTAAATCTACATCCGTAATAAAACATTTGTTTCGTTCGGGTGTCACGTCGACAGGGTGAAAGGTGAGGTAGATGTTTGCGATGAAGGTATAAAAGAAAAAATTGATTTGAGTAGAATCCCGCCAACCTCTCATTTTTTAATTCCTTCAGAATCCCCTTGTCACTATGTTAATTCATAATGGGACACTAAGTCAGGGGAGTTTGGCCAGACTCGAAGTTAAGTACAAAATGACGATGAGCTTAGGTGACAATGAAGACAGTTACTCGGGCTGAGGGTGGGGGTAGGGTTAACAATCGTCGACTGATCTCCGTAAGGGTTGCCAATTCCAAAAGCATTAATGCAAAACAATGCGTGCCACCATGGGAGTGCCGAGGGCGACAGATTATTACGTCACATTTTTAAGGATGGAAGAGGGAAGCTTCCGGTGTCTCTGAGAAGGTCCCTCCCTCCTTGGGGTACTTTGCGGGCTCGGTCGCCCTTATAAAGTCCTCGGGATACCGTCAACATAAATAAGTATATAAAATCTCACGGGAGGAAACATAGAAAATTGGAAATTTTTCGTAGATTGTAAAGGAAGCCCAAGCCCAGCACTGTCGTCCCTCTAAATTTAAGCCTCAGGACGTAGAGAAATGATCCAGCGTAAACTTTGAAATATTCGTCATCTTCCACGTCACGCGCATTTTCTCTACGCGTGTATAAGACGTGACGTAGCCGGTGTATGTTATTTATTTCACTTTCGAAATTATGAGAGAGATGAAAAATGTACGGAATCCCATAAAGTAAAAGTCGTGCGTTAGAATCCAGTGGGCAAACAATTTATATATAGTCAAGTGCAATGCGTTCTGCATTAAGCGGCACGACGTGTGTCCTAGGAACAAAGGCGCCCCCTCGAATCAATTTGCTCGAACGTGCATTCGTCCGTGTATGGTTTTCATGAAAGGTCCCTCCAATTAATCCAATGATCTTGAAGGTTTTAACGAGTGCCGGTGCCGTCGTGCACAGAAGGCTGCACATCCATTCGAAATATCAATACGCAATCGTTCGGTCATCCGTCACGCGAAGTATTTAATATTATGACAGAGGACTTTAACGGAACTGCCACTCGGAACGTAGCTATCCATCAAAGCCGTAGAGTGCAGTCTTAATCCTCTAGGATTTCCCGTAGGGGTTCCGTATGCACCAATGGATAGACGTACGATAGAATTATGGTTCCCCTATGTTCCCATTATGAAACCAACCCCGAATCGTTCGCAGTCCTTCCCGGCATACCTACCACCCGTAGCCCCATTCCCGAAGGTCTTGCACTAACAGCCCCTGCAGGACCTCATAGGGCAGTTCAACCCCGTGCACGCGCCACTTTGTGTCTGGCTCGGGGCGACCCCTCCTTACCAGGCTTTACCAGCATAACGCGTCATCGCATTATAAGTTCACGTAACGGCCATCATATTCGCTCCCATAGGTACATGAAAATTCGTAACGGTCTTGTCTAAGTCAAATACGTTACGAATTCAATGCGTTTTATGAAGTGGACTGTGGGGCGAAAGGGGAGAGAGAAAGAGAGAGAGAGCAGGGCTTGACATTACCTCCCATTCATTTTCACTGCTATATGAATAATGGATTTAACCTTTTTTTCTCTTTCTCTATTTCAGATCCCAAATTCAAGGAGCCCATCGCCAACGTCACTGCTCCTGTTGGAAGAGAAGCTATACTCTCTTGCATAGTTCAGGACTTGGCAGGCTACAAGGTAAACCTTTCAGTAACATTGAATATCTTAATATCGAGAGAAGAATACTTTTTTTTTCGCCCCACGTAGCTGACCGAGGGGCTTCGCGTTGGCGGATATTGAAAGTCTTTTGTTTTCATATTTTTAATTTTCAGCCGGTATTCGGAGAGCGACGCCTATCACAATAGGGATACGCACGCTGAATGCGCCTATGATTAAACCCCTTCGTCGTTTTCGATAGTAGAGTTTTTTTTTTGTGACGTGGAGATTTAATCGAAAATTGCATGGAAATAGTCCATGAAAGTATAACGAGTCTCTACGATCGATACCGGAAACGAATGCTTAGTACATGGTTATGAAAACTTGCCGTTTTTAATTGTCGCAAATACGCATCTCTTTGATATATACAGTATATAAATATATACGTGTATGCAAACTTTGGCGAATATATAATTAAGAGTTGTTAATGAACTTCGTCCAGCTGTTGGCTGTCTCGTCCGCGTGGGAAGCACGCGCGGTTCACGATAGTCGGAATCTTAATGTCTTCCATTAAAGTCCCACCGCGCAACCACATAAGTCATGACGCTCGAGAAATCGTACTTAAGTACTTAAAGAAGTTGAACTTGCGGATTGCGCACACTGCCACTTCCTGGCAATAAACTGTATAATAATATAGTGTATATATATATACGTATATATACCCCTATAAAGTGCGGCTAATTGAATAACGGCAGCCCTGCACGTTTTATCTTCATTTTGGTTATTTTCCACGTCCCCCATAGCTCTTTGGGAGACACGTCGTTCGCCATACGTATACGCTCGCAATAAGACATTCCTTTCCTTAAAGAGTCCATGGAGATTTTGAATGGTCGTAAGGTACATATATTGGACTCTCCATACAATTTCGCTTAACTATAAAAAATTTATCTCGTGTAACATTAACTTTAAGGATTCACATTTTATATGTATATATATATATATATATATATATATCCTGCTATCTATCAATTACAAGGATGTTTCACGTGAAGTGATACAGACGCGATCCCGTTCTTATAGTTTGAGAATAAAAGTGTGAAAAAAAAGTAGCTAAAGTGTTGGTACTCGGCATCAAAACTGGACAACTCTTCATCCCTACAAATTGTTCAATTTGGCTGGATTCGTATCAGAGATGCGTTCCGCTCGAATGCTCAGCCTGGATCGCCCTTTCACCAATCCAGGAAGATCTCGCGCAGCTATCTCGAACGATCCCAAGTCGGAGCCATAACAAATGTTATCCCTGCGCGAACGAGAGATCATTGAAGCCGATCCTCTCGCGAGTTAACGGGTTCGATGATTCGGAAGGTAAGATATAAGGTATGGATTAAGAATTATCGAGCACTGGAATAGATTGCCTAGAAACGTCATAACGAAAAATTAAGAAAAAAATATATAAATCACGTTATCCTAATAAAAAAGAACAATCGGCACTGTTAACGTGACTGCTAGGAAAAAGAAATTGAAGAAGTTAAACCTGGTCCTTAGGCTGCTCGAGGATTGAATATAGTGATCGATTGTTTACTAATCGTTCAGGACAGGTCGCAGCCACAGGATCTGAAGCCGCGAGCTCCGATTAACTTGCGACGAGTATTGTCTTAATAAATCAGAGATAGACGAGGGTATAAAATTAAGGAATAAAAAATAATTTTAAAAAATAGAACAATTTGCTTAACATCTTGCGAGATAATTTTTCATTTTTCTAAATGGTCCATTAATCCCATCAGGCGGATATTCGAGGCTTACCTGAGCAGCCTATTCCTTTGACTCTCGTAACCACTTGACGCGGTTCTGTGGGTCAAAACGGGCTTTGACAGATCGAGGATGTTATTTCCTTCGTTCTCCCAAAGAACTTTGGCTCCTCTTCTCGCTACACAGCATCATCCCATGTAGGTCCAGGGTCCTTATGGAATATTGAAGCACGCTCCTCTAACGCGTGTCCCATATTATATTTCGACATAGAGTCACGGCACTTAACCGGATATCACGCTCCCATGTATGGACATATGAAACTTGTAGCTTACATATGCAACTTTGATTTATATGACATTAGCCATATTATGTAACGTCAGAGAGCACTATACATATATACATATATACATATATATATATATATATATACATGGATACAGAGCAGTGTAGTTAACTCTTCGGGTCGGCTTTTTATTAGGTACTCCCTTGCAGTTCAGGCTCTCGCATTAACAGCAGTGATAATAAATCAAGCGTTAAACGTGATGGAGAATCCGAGGCAAGTTGGTCGATCTGGGGATTATTATTCAAGCGCGAGTCGCGCCATTCATTAAAAAACAAGATAACTCGCAACGGCTCGTTTCTATATGAGCCAGCAACTACTCAAGTGCGGCCCGACGCCGTTACGAGATCGTGGCACGCTTTCCGGCTTAAATTCCCATTCAGGGCTTGTCCTTGTTTTACACAGGCTCGCTAGCACGTAAACGTACACAAAAGGAGCGTTCAGCTCGTGACTGAACCGAAGCAGGACTCTCTTCGTCCGTATAGAAATTTTTATCGTATGTAATACCTTTTTGACAGGATGTGTACTACCTGTTGTAGATCAAAGGGTTACGTTGCGTCATTCCGTTTTTTTTTTGTTTCTTTAATCGTGAACAGTTTTTTTTATTTATTTATTTTTTTCATATCTCTTTTTTTCAAACAATGCTTGCTTCATATCATTTTGATCTGTATGACGGTTCCATTGTAGTTCACGACTCTTTGAAGATCCCTGAAATGTCTCTCAGCGTTGACTGTACCTACGTACATTTGAAATTCTCTAATTCGAGATTGACTGTCGCACGCAAATATTTCATGAAAATAATAACCGAATTCAGTCGAGACTAAAACGGTAGGAATCGTACTTTTTTGCTTTTAAAATAGTCCGGCGTTCCTGTGTGGATTTGCTGTGTTTCGAAAATTTCGTCAGCCCGTTGCACGTTACTACAATTTCTTAGCTCTTCGACCGAACCATATCTGTCTCTTACTTATCCCGTGGAATTTTATCCAGGAGAGTAAACAGCCTGTAATCCGTGTCGGAGCGAAGGCAGTGCTATAGACTTTTTGAAAGACACTGCTGTACCCAGTACAGCTATACAATCGGCAGTTACGGCAGCAGTCGAAGAAGCGCGATGCAGCCGCATCGAAAGAGCTCGGACCTTTTGACGTAAATACATCGAAAAGTATTCCGTAGGATGTTCGTACGATGAAATTCAAATGGACGTGTCCTATATAAAGGCACTGGATAGCCGAGAAGCCGACAAGCCCCAACGTCCGACACCGGGAACGGAATAATCGTGTCGTTTATAAAGCCGTTGTGCGTCGGTTCCGGCTATGCATTAAGATGACGGATAACGGTTGCAGCCACGCCGGAAGGCTTGAAGTGTCACGATGGGGAGATAACGACACCTCTCGACTTCGGGCCCGAGTCTCTACGTAACCCTGATGATAACAGCACGACTCTGTTACCTCTCTTGTTATGAATATAATGCCGGAGGACTCAGAGGAGCCTCTCTTTACTTTACGTACGGTCCGACAACGATATCTTTGCGACACGAATTTGCATTGCGAATTTTATTTGAATCTTCCGTCTCTGCTCAAACTAACGTCAACTCGATATGTATAATACGCGAGCTCTCTCTCTCTCTCTCTCTCTCTCTCTCTCTCTCTCTCTATCTCTCTCTCTCTCTTATTAACGGGAGAGCCCGTATAATGAAAGTAAACTAATCACAATTCTCTGTATCCACTGGTGCATTTGACTGACGCATAATACCACTGGTACTCTAGTATACGTATACATATATGTAATATCGATGCATTCGAAACTGCAGCGCGTCGTTTGTCGAGATTTTACGGAATTACTGTAAAATTATAATTGATTGAATTGAATTACTCTTGGTCTATCCCGTTGTCTCTAACTACGTCGTTTCACGACTAACGACATACCGAATTCGTCGGTTTTTTTTCACGCTACTGAAAATTCTATCTATTCGTGTCTCTTGGTTGTTTCATTGACCCTTGGGAGTCGCTCGTTAACATCGCTCGACGGATGAAGAATATATATATATATATGTATATTCGTCATTGGTATGAAGATGTATATATATATATATACATACGTGAATATGCAACCCAAGCAAAATCCTTATTACACTTTATTTTATGTCTATATCGATAACCACTGCTGGCCGAGGAGATCGGAACGATATAAACCGCAAAGTATAACAGACACCGTGAAATATTTCATGACAAAGTCATATGACATTCTAGGAGTGACATTTCGAGTCCCGTGAGACATCCTCCAGGACATTAGGTAATGCCAGTCTACGTTGGAGACAATAGGGCGAAGGCTTTAATTACCTCAAAAATCCATCATTACTGCAAGACGTCTCGTTTCATTTGCTTGGCGCTTTCACTTAAATTATGTGTCAACTGTTCCGAATGTCAGGTAAGGATTCGTAATTCGTCGGAGTAATTACTGTGTTATTAAGAAGTATCCAGCAATACCTCGTATTTGAATATTTTAACAATTTAATATGAAATTTCCTCTATTCCCTGTAATACCACAGTGCATATATACGTGTACATGTCAATACGTATAAATTGGCGGTGCAGCAATTTATAGCATCGCGAGTGCATTTTGAATTAAAAATATAATTAACCCACTTCAGGATGAAGGCGATAAAGTCGCATCGCGTCCGAGTGTAATTGCGTTTTCTCTGATTTCGATAAAGGCGAATTCTAAAAGGAAGGTGGTATAACGGCCGAGTGTAATGGCGTCTAAAGTAACTCCGTCTAAGTCACGTAATACAGGATCGGTAATTTTACGAGCGTCAGGCTAAGAGTAACGACGATAAGAGCACTCGTGCGCTAAAGCACCCGATGTCCTGGAACGAAGTGGCGGATTTCATTTCGCAGTCAGGAAAATTGTTACAGGCGGTAGTACCTGGTAGACGACTCTTATTCACGTACATTCGTTGAAGTGGACTGTGTCACGGATCTGTACGGCACGGATACATCCGGAAGTGGGAGCGAGATGAAATCTCGTGTGACGCTTCGCTAACTTTATTTCAATGCAGATGGAACGAGGTGAAATATATCTAGTCAGGATCCCGGGGCGATGCTTCAATCGAAGTCGAACTTGCGACCTGTCGTAAAACTCGACTCGACCTTTTGAACTATTATATTCACGTGGAATTTCGTACTGTCTGCTTTGCACGTGTAATATTATTAAACTTAATCTTATTACTCACGTGAGACATACGACGAATTCGTTAGCGTATCATTCGTCGAAAAGACGCTCGTGGAAAAGCTTCGAGCAACTCGGTGATATGATTGTAATGTTAATTGATAACAATGACAACAATGACAACGTCATACCTCTAACGTCAAATTCACGTAATTCCTGGAAGACACGAGTACTCGTTATTGGGTACTTTGATGACATGAATAAATATCTATAACTTTATATATGGTTAATTAAGACGAAGATATTGATAATTGCGATTACTTTGCGCGATTGGGTTCTAAAGACTAATTAGCGATATAGTTTAATGAGCATACGTGAAAGTTCACGTGCTGTCCTTTTTTTTGTTCATTGCTAAACTAATATCGTAATTCTAGCCTAGAAACTTTCACTTTCAGCATCAATATTGAGTAGGAAACTGTTTACGAGGTGACGTATGTAGATATAAGAATGTGTGTTCGTACGTATGGCGTGTACGATTTCCTCCATAAGATAATCGGCGTACGTGCTTTTACTTTGCTCAGTCTCTTTTATGATTACAACTCGTATGTATTCCTTACTGGGCACGTGGTGTGCCGTATAGGATTTTTTTTATGGCTTAAAGGGGTAGGTTAAAAGCAAATGGCTGCGATATAGGTTAAAGGAGACTCTGGGTAGCGGCGACCGATATCGATGGCAATTCCGCGCATTTTATTTTTACGATTCCAAGCTCAACTCGCTGGAAAACGTGAAGGATCATAAAAGCCCTCCGGTGCATACGGGCAAAGGTTAATCCTGTAAATTACAGAAATTCGAGGACCAGTCGTAAATATTTGGTTATCATAGTTGGCGGAAGCGCGACGGGGCATTAGCTACATTCACACACGTGCACGGACACCACGTGTGCAAGGGTCGCCACCCCTCTCTATTCATTCGAGTGGATATCAAATGCAATAGTTCACACTGTGTTTCCGACTAGGTTGGCCAAACCCTGTTCCTCCACTTCCATAACCTAATCCGATCGTACCCTCTTCTCAGCTGGACTTCCGGTATACCCCAAGCACCTGATATCTCTGCTCGAGGAAAGCGACGTAAAACGACGAAAAACGAGAGCTTTAACGTCGAGGAAGAGTATCTACATTTCTCAGAGATTTTTCTCTTACTTTTTTTTGGGGGGGGGAGGGGGGGATTTTTTACACTACTATTTTTTTTTTCATACAATTTTTGCCTTGGTCATTTATTGATTTCGTAAGATGTTATCATACGTTATCGTTGTAATGGTTGTTGAGTTTCAACAGTACCATATCGTGATTGCTGTTTACATTACTATAACGTGACAGCTGTCACACGTGGCTGATATGTTTCAGCCGAAGGATTGTATATATATATAACGTTTTAGAAATTCTAAATGTTCGGTATCGCTACGATAAGACGAAAATTGTTAGCCACACCGTATGCAACAAACGTAACTGATATGGGTTGACTGTATGTCCGAAACAAGTGTAATTTACAAGGGATGAAGACTCGAAGCAATAGAGCTGTTGAAATGATTTTAAACGAAGAGAGAATATTTTTCGTGGAGGAAAAAGAGGATAATACTTTCATATTGATCAATGATTTATATCCACGTCGTTCTTAATATCCAATCAGTGACCTGTAAAACTGAATTAAATAAATACCAATGAAATAGATGACATCCACCAATCGCATCCGAATTTACGTGGTTTTTTTTTTAACTCTAACTGATAGAGGACGAAATAAATGCTTCTAAATTGAAATAGCAATTCCATTATCCCATGTCTTTGACAGGGGTTGGTATAATGCTACTGTGAATGTACAAATATTATCAAGGTACAAAATGGTTGAGACTATCAATTCAAAAAACCATATACAGAACAAGTTGAATCAGATTGGCGTGTGAATAGCTTTCAGTACGTTCGTTCGTATGAAATTTTGTTAACAGCTTGATTTACGTAACGTTCCAACTGGATTCGCTATACCGACGAATACAAAATTCTCCCTCGTAAAAGCCAGAGGCAACCTCGAGTGTTACTCGTAAACTTATCTGCTTGAGTTGATTTGAAAATTGAGTGCGATTGCACCGTCACGTAGTAAGTAAATATACTCGAAGCCTTCTTCCAAAGTACTTAGACTGATAAGACGAAGTGATTATGTTACAGGTAGCATGGCTTCGAGTCGATACCCAGACTATATTGACCATAGCCAATCACGTGATCACGAAGAATCACAGAATCGGAGTGACGCACAGCGATCATCACACATGGTTTTTGCACATACGCGAAGTCAGGGAGTCTGATCGTGGATGGTACATGTGTCAGATCAATACCGATCCGATGAAGAGTCAAATTGGCTACTTGGAGGTCGTCGGTAAGTATTAATATATTAATTGGATACTCAAAGTGTATTGATGTTTAGAAATGTAAAATCAAAGTATCTCGATGCCGACTTCCTGAAATATCTCCTCGATACGTTGAGCACGCTTTTCGTGCGGCTGTGAGGTAACGTCTCTCTATAGCCAGATGACGACTCTGGTCGCACATTCAACTAGAGCAGCGAAAAGGAAGACACGAAGTGATTTCATGGGGGAGATGAAGTTCTGTAGGTAGCCGGTTGGTTATGTAGGAATCCTCGAGAGCGAAGTACTGAGGGAACTCACGGGATTAAATTGCTACAGATGGGATACAAGAAGCTACCTCTCTATCTCTGGAATACCAATTTGATTTTGGTTGACACAGAGACGCGAGATGGCACGTAAAATATTTCATTTAAATTGCAGACTATCCGGTATGAATAGAGCAATAAATTATTCTTTTTCTTTCGCAAAAAAGAATAACTCAAACCCATATTTTGAGAAAAATATACAATTTTATTTTTTATTTTTCGATAATCCATCATTATTTTCGTGATTGATTACAGTCCATAGATGATTACAGGTATACGTGGGTTACGCTATTATTCCATTTTCTCTTTCGAGTCCGATGTTAATTGGCCAGTAATTGCTACCAGTACTGCGGTTCGACATCATCCCCTTGAGCCTGCCCTTACAATTAGAAGTCATAGCGTTGCCGAACGTTGCCGAGATGGATGAGAGCCAAATACAGTCGTAACGATTCGAATCATAGTCACGAATCACTTTGCATCGTTTCTTTTTTTTTTTTATAATTAAAAAAATAAAATAAAAAAAGGATTCTTCCATTGCCGACATTTCTCTAAGGAGTAAGCAAGTTCGTGGACCGAGCTTGCAACTTACAAAGTGGCTTCTATGGCAGTTCGCAAGTTTTATTGAGTGCTCGTGAACCGTGAAGCTCAGGAGCGTGTACCGGGTGCTTGAATGCTAGTGGAACTGGATTAGAACGTTAACGTGGCCGCTTTCACTGCTTTTGGTTGTTATATGGAAACTCTAATTCAAACTCACACGTAGCGTTAATCACGTGACAGCCAGAGGCGTGTTTAAATAATATATCAAGTGCCATTTTCGATAATCAATATTTCATACTCAAGTACACGATGTCTTAGGGGTTATTTCTAGAGTGACTACTTCGGGATGTCAGTGCAAGGGAGAAATGAATTTCTTAGATGATACCTATTTCAAATTTGCTACGATAAACTTGCCAGAGCGAACCTCCCCTTTATACGTGCTGGTTGTAACGGGCTGAGGGGACGAAGGAGGCTGCTACGTTTCAACCCTTAAAATAGCTACCCGCAGCGCCGGTGCGATTACTTCATGAGCTACGGGGAATCAGAGTGTTTCTTCTCTGTGAAGTAGTGTTCTGGATTACGCACATTTTGCATTATTAGAGTGAAGTAATGGCGCCAAGGTCTGCCGCGGGCGGAACGAACCCACAGACGGGGAAGCGGTTAGCAAAGGCTCTTCCAGTCGCTTAATGAATGACAACGGTATAAGATATCAAGGATGAGAAGAAGGTGGCGATGCAAATGCGGCTTGAGGTACTATTATGAAGATTCTTGAAATTTTTTTTTTTCAAATCTAGTTTCATCTTATTATTCCACGCGTGCAAGACTGTACTGTAGATTCTATTTAAAAAAAGAACAATTTTCACGTAATTTTACCTCACCACCCGTCATTATCATACAAAATACTAGATTTCTCAAATTTCTCAGGTTATCATCCCCGCTGAATTTACTCTTGACTTCCTACGTTTCCACTGTCAGACAAGGGTTGTCTCACCCTACGTAGCGACATAACAGATAACAAGCTCACGGCGAACCGCAAACCAACCCAAGAGGTTGTTCTCAGGTTGTTTCCCGAAAAGGATAAAAATGCCTTCTGAGGGAAATCCTACTCTAGTGATATGATCCAAAAAAAAAAAAAAAAAAAAA